CATATATATATATATATATATAGGAGTAGCTTAACTAGACGACCAGACGATTCTCACTGCCGCATCGTCTTTGTTAATTGTCAGTACATGTTATCTGTACATTAATTATACAATTAATGATCTTAATTAAGTGCGTTGAGTTATATTGAATAGCTTTACCTTTTACGAAAAGTGCTCACTCGTACGGAAATTTTGAGTGCGTCCTAAATTTGTTGGCACGATGCGCAATCAAAAACTAGTACACGGACAGGCCAACGAAGAAGCCAAATACCACGTGACGCGGATCTGTTTGCGGACACGCCGACCGGATATGTAAGCTGAATTGCTGTGCGAAACTTGCTGTGCATGCGTCACCCTTCGTTTTAACAACTATATATACTGTTGCAAGACAACCATTTCGCCCGTCATTCATTGGCACACAACACACGTTAATTGCGAGCATTATCTGTATAATTATAAATGCACTAATTATATATAAATATAATTTTATATAGGTGTCGCGTTGCGTTCGCGTTTAAGAACCTGTTGTATAATGAACTGATATTTAAAGAATTGTACACGGAAAAAATATATACACTAATTTACACAGAACTTTGAGCACGACAGATATAGGCAGAAGTAATATATAAACAGCTAGATTTAAATTCATTTTGTACATTATAACAGACATTTGATACATTTATTTGGCGAATAGCTAATCGGGTACATCGCATATTTGTTTAAAGTAGGGGTTGGTTCCAGGGTTTGATGAAAGGGGGGGGGGCGCCAAAACGCATTAATAATTTCCTCCAGGTGGAAGGACACACCTCCTGATTGCTATTATCTGAGTGGTACGCATGGCAAAAAGTTTTTCAATTCGTTGACCAAAAGTTGAGAGATAGAACATGTTCTATCTCTTAACTAGTTGATATTATCTAGTTGAGCGTTCAACGTTTACGTTTACACTGTCGACTTTTGGTCGAGTTAGATTAGTTGATCAACTCGTCAACTTTTCAAACAACCAGAAGTTGATAGTGTTAACCCAGCTTTAAACAAGTCACGTCACAACATTAGGTAGTCAAAAATCGTGTATGTGTGTGTGTGTGTGTGTGTGTGTGTGTGTGTGTGTGTGTGTGTGTGTGTGTTGTGTGTGTTGTGTGTGTGTATGTGTGTGTGGTGTGTGTGTGTTGTGTATGTGTTGTGCGCGTGTGTGTGTGTGTGTGCCTGTGTGCTTGCGTGCGTCGTGTGCGTGTGTGTGTGTGTGTGTGTGTGGTGTGTGTGTGTGTGTGGTGTATGTGTGTGCGCGTGTGTGTGTGTGCGTGCGTGTGTGTGTGTGTATGTGTGTGCGCGTGTGTGTGTGTGTGTGTGTGCCTGCGTGCTTGCGTGTGTGTGTGTGTGTGTGTGTGTGTGTGTGTGTGTGTGTGTGTGGGCGCGCGCGCGTGTGTGTGGTGTGTGTGGTGTGTGTGTGTGTGTGTGTTGTGTGTGTGTGTGTGTGTGTGGTTGTGTGTGTGTGTGTTGTGTGTGTGTGCCTACGTGCTTGCGTGCGTGTGTGCGTTAGCTATAGACTAGTATCGTGCAGTCACAGATCACACGCACGTTAATGTTAGATATATAATATATGATATATATAACAATATACAATACAAATATA